GAAGGGAAAGCAGTGGACATGTTGTTCCTTGACTTTAGCAAAGGTTTTGACATGATCTCCCACGGTATTCTTGCCAGCAAGTTAAAGAAGTATGGGCTGGATGAATGGACCATAAGGTGGATAGAAAGCTGGCTAGATTGTCGGGCTCAACGGGTAGTGATCAGTGGCTCCATGTCTAGTTGGCAGCCGGTATCAAGTAGAGTTCCCCAAGGGTCAGTCCTCGGGCTGGTTTTTTTCAATATCTTCATGAATGATCTGGAGGATGGTGTGGATTGCACCCTCAGCAAGTTTGCAGATGACACTAAACTGGGAGGAGAGGTAGATTCGCTGGAGGGTAGGGATAGGATACAGAGGGCCCTAGACAAATTGGAGGATTGGGCCAAAAGAAATCTGATGAGGTTCAACAAGGACAAGTGCAGAGTCCTGCACTTAGGACGGAAAAATCCCATGCACTGCTACACACTAGGGACCGAACAGCTCGGCAGCAGTTCTGCAGAAAAGGACCTAGGGGATACAGTGGACGAGAAGCTGGATATGAGTCAACGATGTGCCCTTGTTGACAAGAAGGCCAATGGCATTTTGGGATGTATAAGTAGGGGCATTGCCAGCAGATCGAGGGACGTGATCGTTCCCCTCTATTTGACATTGGTGAGGCCTCATCTGGAGTACTGTGTCCAGTTTTGGGCTCCACACTACAAGAAGGATGTGGAAAAATTGGAAAACATCCAGCGGAGGGCAACAAAAATTAGGGGACTGGAACGCATGACTTATGAGGAGAGGCTGAGGGAACTGGGATTGTTTAGTCTGTGGAAGAGAAGAATGAGGGGGGATTTGATAGCTGCTTTCAACTACCTGAAGGGGGGTTCCAAAGAGGATGGATCTAGACTGTTCTCAGTGGTGGCAGAGGACAGAACGAGTAATGGCCTCAAGTTGCAAGTGGGGGAGGTTTAGGTTGGATATTAGGAAAAACTTTTTCACTAGGAGGGTGGTGAAACACTGGAATGTGTTACCTAGGGAAGTGGTGGAATCTCCTTCCTTAGATATTTTTAAGGTCAGGCTTGAGAAAGCCCTGGCTGGGATGATTTATTTGGGGATTGGTCCTGCTTTGAGCAGGGGGTTGGAGTAGATGACCTCTTGACGTCCCTTCCAACCCTGATATTCTATGATTCTATGATAAACTCAGCTGCCAAGACGATCCAGCCAGAGAGGGACCACCCAGCACTGCTGCTGCTTTCTGCTCAGTAGCTGGGATCGGCCTCTCGCCCAGCACAGGTTGATATAGACAGAGAACTCGCCATTGAATTCTGTGGACATTTTGTTGTGTGACATTTTTGAGGCCTTTTGAATGCTCAACTAGCAACATCTAGCGACTTTCCAGGGCTTCTCTGGAAACTTCCTGCCATGTGGAGTTGACTCAGACTCCTGCTAGTGCCTCAGACAGCGCCAGACTGGGAACACGGGCAGCCCGGCCTTCACAAGCAAGGGCAGCGAGGAGAGGACATGTGTCCCAGGACCTTCATTCCATAGCCTTCGCTCTCCCACCGCGGAAACACCTGCCCCGCCCCTAATTCCTGCCAGGGTGGGACACGGGGTCAGCGTGGCGGAGAGGAACGTGCCTGGGAAAGGCACCAGCACCGACCGCTCTCACTAAGCCGTGCTAAGTGGTGCCGGAAGCAGGGATCGAGACGGGGCTGGTAGCAGCTGCAGATGCAACAGCTCAGCTGTGGAGACTGCCTAGCACGCGAGGCCGCAAAAGCGAGGTTAGGGCAATGGCAGGGGTGAGGGAAGGGGGGGCAGCAGGGCCAAGGGGTGGCGGGTACAGAGGCAGCAGGGGCCAGGAGTGATAGGGAGGTGGGAAGAATACAAGTGCAGTTCCTCTGCAACTGTGACTGGTGTTTTATTTCCTTGTTTCGGAAGGCACTAAGCCAGCAGAGAACTTACATGGGAAGTCCAAGCACTTGAGCAGGTCCAATGATGTCAATGGACCATGCCACTGCTTATAATTGAACATATGCTTACAAGTTTGCTGGATTGGGGCCTTAATGTTAGAATATATTATAATAAATAATAAGAACTGGAAAGTCACACTCTTAAACTTTGTAATGTTAATAGCAAAAGGGGGTCAGTTGTGAAGCTTTGATCCAAATTCCAGTTCTTAAACTTCGGATCCAAACCCACCCGCTTCACAAAGAGGGTTGGGATTTGGGGTTCTGAACTGGCCCATCATAAAATAAACCTGAGTTGTGAAGTTGAAATCTAGAGCTGACCTTCCTTGTGGTTCTCAGTGGTTTAGACTCTGTGTCCTACTTTCAGGGTCCATCTCTAGTTAGAAATTAACTGTAGAGAGAGAATTGAATTGCAGGAAAGCTCAGAAACCTGCCTCGAATGTCACTGTTAATTGGCCTAGGCACATGTGATTAACAGAGATTTCTGTGCTCTCTTTACTTTCCAAAAAACCTTTCAAACCACTATTCTCCTGCTATGAAATCTATTTTTCCAGGTTTGCTAATGATGCCATACATTCAGCATTCTTTGATACTACAGCTGCCAGAAGAGACATCATAGCCACCAGGAGGGTTAGCAAGAGATTTCTGGTACTTGTGATGACCAAGGGAGCTCAGGTCTCCTTGTAAACCCACAAGAGCGAATGGATTCAAATGGAGAGGCAAAATAATTTGATATAGTTACATTGGAACAGATTCCTGACATAATTATTGGGGGCAGTTATTATCACAAGAGCTCAAAAAGGATTGTTTACAAATATCTCTGTTCTTCAAATCAGCGGCTCAACCATTCCAGACTACTGAATCCCTTTCAGCCACGGGCAGCAGGGCTCAGGCTTCAGCACGTCTCTCAACTTCGCGGGGCCCCTGCTTGCCAGCCTGGCACTTCCAACCCCTGAAACTCATCCTTCTTCCCCCCCCCCCCCAGGTTGAGAAACACCAATACTGTATATACAGCAGTATAAACAAGCCATTGTCTGTATGAAATTTCACTTTGTACGGACTTCACTAGTGCTTTTTATGTAGCCTGCTGTAAAACTAGGCAAATATCTAGATGAGCTGATGTACCCCCTGGAAGACATCTGCGTACATGCACCCCTGGTTGAGAACTGCTTCCAACTGATAATATGCCAGTACAATCCAGAGCTGCTTCAGAGCTGTGTAGCTCTCTTTTAGAAATGTCTCCATCTGCTATTACATAGTATTGCAAATCATGACATCAAAAGTAGCTCTAGAAATCAAAACTCCTTTGTCTCGATTACCTGCAGACTACCAGAACCTTTAAAAATTGTGCCCCCCCCCATATCAGCAGTTACCAGGTGCCTCTGCCTGAACACCTCATCGATTATTAATCTATCCCTCCCATTCTTTGTGGCTCTGATGTCTCCCTCAGTAGAGCTCAAGTTTTAGAGATTGTACGTGCAGACAATCTCTCTACACTTACTGTGAGTGAGTGCCATTTGGAGGAACAGCAACAAAAAGAGGTGGAGTTTATATGTTCTCTAGTATTTAGATATAGGAACAGGGACTGTGGGAGCTCCAGAGGGCCACACATGCTGTTACAGAACAAGTTTTTGCGGTCTGTTGAGTTATATGATCTATCTGAATTTGAATTTTACCACAGTAATTAGTACTCAGCCTCTGGCTCCACCATCAAATCCCAGTTATGTAGGGTGTGCATCAATCTTCTATGTTCATAGTTCAAAAATATAACTAGGACCTGGGTCTTCAAAGCCAAAAATCAATTTTGGGGGGGGAAGTGATGGAAATTCTGAGATGAGTTAAATGAATGGGAAGAGTTTTGCTTTGTTTCAAGTTAAGATCAGATTTATTTTCAATCTTTTTGGCGAGGATATTTTTTAAATTTCTGCCCAGTTATGGAGATTAATGGATAACTGTAGCTGCAGCATCAGCTTTACACCACCACCACTTGCTGTTCTTGCAAGAGTGCAAATCACAAGGACAGGTCCCACAGAAGCAAGTGAACCTTTTAGGAAGGAAAAACACATGGGCAGTGCCTTGACACAAACTACCACAAGAGGCACAAGCAGAAGACAGAACAGCCTCAAGGAGAAGTTTCTGGCCTGGGGGGACCTGCCTGGTCAGAATTGTTGCTCTTGTGCTTACTGGAGTAGAAATTTTCCTTTTCCTAAAGAGCCTGACACAGGTCTTTCAGTGATGCTGTCCCAACAGGATCCAGCCTGGGGTTGCAGCAGCTGAGCTCCCTGGGAGTCTGGCTGTAAAGCTCCTAGGTGAAGAGACAGAAAGGAGCTTCCTGCACAGAAGGTGAATGTTCCTGCCCAGCGAAGGAGCATTTCCAATTGTTTGTTTCTTCAGCCATTCTCACACATTTCCTGCACCCTGCTGGCACAGCGCCTGTCACACCTGGGCACAGGCTTTGCCACTTCGGCACGTTTAGGTAACAGCACACACAAAAAATTCATCCTGGTATGACCCCCATTGATCAGAAACCCTATAGCAGGGACCAGGCATGCGCATGTCCTCAGAGAAGCTGAACACATACATCTGCCTTTACTTTTAAGGTTTACAGTTACACGGGGGGGACTGCCCAAGGGAAACCATCTCCTTTGGTTCTGACTCCTGTTGCACAAACCCTGAGCTGCCTTCAGAGCCTGCAGTACAGACAAACCCGGTTAACCCTAATTAATTCTTAGACATCAGCTGTATTCAGATTTAAAACAGAGTCCTAAAGCGTTTAACAAAGGCCGAACCTGGAGAGAACAATGCACGTTGAAAAGGGACTAGTCAGCCCAACCCTGGCCTTAGCCTAAGCAGTCAGCGGAAACTGGGGCTATGGAGCCAAACTCCTCTCTGGTAAGAACTCCAAAGGTGTCAATGCAGTTACAACAGGGATATATGTGGTCCAGCAACAATCCAGTATTGCAAGAATACTCCAGATTTCTCACTATACAAGGCATGTAAAGTAAAATCCACTGACAGAGTTCCCACCTTTCCATGCTCTCACTGATTACGTACATGTAGTTATGCACATTTTCTGTCAACACACAAAGTAAGCTGCTGCATTTGAGCTTCATTTAACTGGAACTGCCTCTTCAGTGCTGGGATTCTGCTTTTAAATGCAATATAAGATGCTACTGGTCACATCCCAAAGAATAATGGTGCTGTCTGCCTCCCATTGTTGCCCCAAGGGTAAATGATTTATTGGTTTGCCCTTCTGAACTGTGCTATTTATGTAGAACACAGATCAGACAGCAACCTGAAGACTGGCAACCGGTTAGTGAGCACAATATTCTGCTCTCTGGTTGAGAATGTCGGCTTGACCACAACAGTTCATTAACTCCCAAGCATAGTATGACAGTGAGGAGTGTGCATGCAGGCTGAAAATGTATGTTTCCCTGCCCACCTTAGCACCGTCTCCTCCATTACGAGGTCAGCGACACCAATTTCACTGATCCTTGGCCTGTGATTAGTCACAGATTATTTTCATTGAATGCCTAGTCCCCCTGCTCCTTGCCATTGTGCTGTGTTGAAGCATGGCACTTGGAAGTGAAGGTATTCCCAAACTAGTATCTTCTGGCTGCCTTGTTCTGCCTCAGGCTGGGGGGTTCTTTTGGGTTTCTTGGAAGTGAAGAGAGACAGGGATGATTAACATCAGGCAGCATATCCTCACCACGGAGAGGGGAGAACGTCCCCAGAAGCAGCCGCTACTGTGAGCTGCTCAACAGTGATAGTCTGGAGTGTACTTGGTGAGCTAACATTGTGTGTGAGGGACACAAGAACAGTGATAGATACTTGAACATATCGACAACAAACCAAGAACCCACGGACTATTTGACAGGGCTACCAAGCAGAATATTGCACCCAGTGGTCACTAATGCTAGAAGCTTTAAACTGTGTAGAAAATTAAATGGTTTTGCACATTACAAAAATAAAGACAAACCACATTGTTCCACACCAGTTAAGGAACAGCAGTGAACTTCAGGTGAATGATCCCGCTTCCACATGAAATAGAAACAAACTGGAGTGCTCTAAATACTGCCATCAATCCCAACATTATGGCTATTTGTGTACAGCAAACAGAATCCCTGAGAAGCCGCTCACACAGTTCGTTTGTCAAGCAGCTCTTCCTTGGAGGATGATCATGATTCTAAGGTTCAGGTGTAAAACATTTACTCAGTTCTGCTTTACCAAGCCACGGCATTTATTCCTTGAAAACATCTGAACTCTTCTTGTTAGTGTGTTCATAGATCACGCCGAGTTATTAGGAAACGGTCTTCCAGCTGGGAAAGAGATTCAAGTCCGGGGTTTTCTTTTCCTCACTTAACATCACAGCAACAAATCACTAGTTTCTTCCTCTGGGGAAAATAGAGAGTGAGAGACACACATCAGTGGCAGTGAAGAGAACAGGAGACTGTTTCCAAATGTGGTAAATGATGGGAGATCCTTGCTATTTATCCAGCCCCAGCGCTGGGCCCAAACAAAGCCTATATCCATGTGGGCATTCTGTGCCTCTCCTGCCCCCTCCAACCAGTGACACTGAGCTCCAACAGCTGGAGAACATACAACCTGTAAAACTGGCCTTGTCTCTATGCCCCTTTGAACATCTGTGTCCTCCCACTCCCCCAACATTTGCAGGTGAATTTAGTTCACTGGTGGGTTTTACGACAGTGCTAAGTAGACCATCACTGGAGAAGGTTTCAACATTAACCTGAAAAGACAAGTTTATGTAGATTAAATTACTGTGTCAACAGAGCGCTGTCCCCAAGCCATTCTGCTCCTGGAGAAACCTCCTTTTTATTGAGCCAGAAGATTTGGAGCTTTTCCCCAAAACCAGAGGTAGGCAGTTCTTAGTCCAGACTAGCATTCCCAGCCCTCTCATGTTGGAAAGGTTTTGCCAACACCTAATACACACTAGCTGTTGCTGATAAGATCACTCAAATAGTTAAGCTATTGTAAAGAAGCTAACTAAACTTGTTTACAGTTAAAATAACGTAAAGAAAGAAAAGAAGCCAGCTACACACTGCCCACTGACTCTGGCTTGTAGGGCTTCGACTGGTCATGGACTAGAGATTGGTCCAATCCAAAGCTCCATCTGTGAGTGCCTGTGTTCCCGACTTGTGGGTGCACAGGTCTTTGCAGCTCAAGCTCAGGTTTAAGTATGGGACTTCCAGAGAAGCTGAGGACTCAGTATTCATCCAAACCTGACCAGCACCAGCCGTGGCACAGTTCATGGGAACAAAACACCAAACTATTCCTGAAAAGGAGGCAAGGCCTTCCCATTTCACTGTGTGCTTTGTGGCTCTGTAACATGTCTCGAGCTCTCAGCCACAGGGGATCCTGCGCCACTGCACATGCACAGAAACATGTCCCCCCACTGATTCTCTTCGCTTCCTTGCAGAAAAATGGTTTCTGTGGGGAAGCAAAGAGAAGCTTTCCCAGTGCTCACTGTGACGAAGCGGGGATTTTTCCTTCTTATGTTGTATGTGAGCCGATGTGAGTCTTACTGTTTTGCATGAATGCTGTGTGTGCCTCAGTTTCCCCATGTACTGCACCAATGTCCAGGTGGTGGGAATAAGGGTGTGTGAATTATGCGGTGGCTGCTCCAGCTGCCTGCATGGATGCCATGGCTGTCCCCTTCATAAACTTGAGACCTAGGAGGGGGGTGTGACCAGTGACTCTTGGCCTGGAAAGCAAGACAAAGACCGGAGGAGGAGCAGCAGGCAGGGCAGTGGCCAAGCAGCTGGAAGCAAGTCAATCTCAGGTGACTTGGGGGAGGGCCAGAGCCTTAGCTCTGGGCTCTCCACCCCCAAGATGGACTTGAATGAAAGTCACTGATTTCTGTGCTAACAAGTTCTGTTCTACGCTGTGTTTCTGTCAACTAATAAACCTTCTGTTTTACCGGCTGGCTGAGAGTCACGTCTGACTGCGCAGTTGGCGTGCAGGGCCCTCTGTCTTCCCCAGGAGCCCCGGCTGGGTGGACTCACTATGGGAAGTGCACCGGGAGGAAGGGGATGCTGAATGCTCCAAGGTCAGACCCAGGAAGGTTGAAGCTGTGGAAGCTTCTTGCCCTGGTGACAATATGCTCAGAGAGAGGAGGCTCCCACAGAGTCCAGAATGGCTTCATATGGAGTCATTCCAGAGCATTGACCCGGTGACTCCGTGACACTCACTCACCCCTCCCTGGCAGTGCAGACACATCGGTTCGGGAACCTGGAGCAGCCACGGGAGACACAAGTCAGCTGGGGGGAAGAGTCCAGATGCATGGGCGTTGGCCAGACAGGGGGAGCAACTCCCCATACAGTGATTCTCCCGCCATTTCCTGGCCCCATCACTCCTCAGCCAGGGGGGGAGCAGTCCCTGTACAGGGAGCTTCTCCCCCTATCCACCCAACCCCCATGCATCTAGACCCCCCTCCCCACACCCAGAACCCCCCCATGAGGCCTCCCTGCATTGGGAGCCCCTTGCAGCCTCCAACCGAATTCCCACCATGCTGAGCCTTACCCCTGCATCAGGAGCCTCCTGTACCCAGACCTCTCCACACCCAAATCCCCACCCTCCAGAGACTCACCCCATGCATTGGGAGCCCCCCACACCCAGACCCCCCTGCTGAGCCCTAACTACCTTCACCTGGACTCCCCTGCAGAGTTCCATTCCCCCTGCACCCCTGTGCATCCAGATCCCCTCCCCCACACCCTGATTGCTCCACATAAAACCTGGCACTCTTGAGGGAATTCCAAACCAAAATTTAAAAAGTGTGCCAAAAATTACAGGTTTTAAGATTCTGCAAAATTCTGCATATTTTATTTGTCAATATAATCACATCATTTTCAATTATTTTGGTAATTTATTTCAAAATACTTGTCAGCAAAGAACTGAAAATAGTGTGATGACATTGCGTTATTCTGACAAATACTGTTTGCAGATTTTTGAGAATTTTAAAATAGTGTGCAGAATTTTAATTTTTTTGGCACAGAAGTCCCACAGGAGTAACTCAATGTGGGGTGCTGCCACGGCGTGCCGACTCAGCCGTTGTCTGTGCAGGAGCACCTCAGGAAGCCCTTGCAACCGAGGTTTCTGGACTTCAGTGGAAAAATCACAACATACCGATTACCTTCCACAGCACAGACATGTTTAAACTGCAGCTTGAGGAGTGTAGCGTAGCAGCTTTACCTTCTGGATCAGCACTTTAGATGCTACAGAGAAATCATTTTTATTACTATAAAAAAACCTCTTCAATCAAGCTGGCTGGAGCTGCTCAGCAGACCAGCACTCCCCTGGCCACGCACACGATCAGTGCATTTTATATTCGTGCTGAGCAGTGCAGTGGCCTCCAGCGCCCAGGTGGCTCACCGACTATTTGATCAGAAATGGAGGGTCAAGGTCAGCCTACATTTTTCTTCTCCAAGTAGCTTCCTAGTGACAACCCCTTCCCGGCTCTCACAGCAAGTCCACATCTCAGTAGTGCTGAACTGCTCTTTCTGGTATCCGGTTATTTCAGGGGTCACCGACCCCAACTGATCTTTGTTGTTTAATAGGCCAGGATGAGCCTAAAATGCTCCAAAACAAAACCATGGAAAGCACCACGGTTAGCACAAGGGAGACAGAGCACTCGGTTTTAGGGCAGACTCTGAGCTATGCAGAGTGGTTCCCTGTCCTAGAACAGGACGGCCATACTGGGTCAGACCAAAAGGTCCATCTAGCCCAGTGTCCTGTCTTCCGACAGTGGCCAATGCCAGGTGCCCCAAAGGGAATGAACAGAACAGCTAATCATCAAGTGATCCATCCCATCGTCCATTCCCAGCTCCTGGACTCATTCTCCAGCTCCTATTATGTTTGTTCTCTTCTCTTCCTACCAAGTCCCCGTTCCCCTGCCCCGCATCCTTCTCCACAGGAAACATCCAGGTGGGAAGCCAATCCCTCCCCAGAGCTGTGGGGAAGGGTCCCCTCAACCCCACTATGATCCTGTTCCTGGAGCCTGTGCAGGGGTCTTTGGGGTCAGCCTTCGGTGGGTTCTAGATCATAGAATCATAGAATATCAGGGTTGGAAGGGACCTCAGAAGGTCATCTAGTCCAATCCCCTGCTCAAAGCAGGACCAATCCCCAACTAAATCATCCCAGCCAGGGCTTTCTCAAGCCTGACCTTAAAGACTTCTAAGGAAGGAGATTCCACCACCTCCCTAGGTAACGCATTCCAGTGTTTCACCACGCTCCTAGTGAAAAGTTTTTCCTAATATCCAACCTAAACCTCCCCCACTGCAACTTGAGACCATTACTCCTTGTTCTCTCATCAGCTACCACTGAGAACAGTCTAGATCCATCCTCTTTGGAACCCCCTTTCAGGTAGTTGAAAGCAGCTATCAAATCCCCCCTCATTCTTCTCTTCCGCAGACTAAACAATCCCAGTTCCCTCAGCCTCTCCTCCTAAGTCATGTGTTCCAGTCCCCTAAACATGTTTGTTGCCCTCCGCTGGACTCTTTCTAATTTTTCCACATCCTTCTTGAAGTGTGGGGCCCAAAACTGGACACAGTACTCCAGATGAAACACTGGAATGCGTTACCTAGGGAGGTGGTAGAATCTCCTTCCTTAGAGGTTTTTAAGGTCAGGCTTGACAAAGCCCTGGCTGGGATGATTTAACTGGGAATTGGTCCTGCTTCGAGCAGGGGGTTGGACTAGATGACCTTCTGGGGTCCCTTCCAACCCTTATATTCTATGATTCTATGAGGCCTTACCAATGTCGAATAGAGGGGAACGATCACGTCCCTCGATCTGCTGGCAATGCCCCTACTTATACATCCCAAAATGCCATTGGCCTTCTTGGCAACAAGGGCACACTGTTGACTCATATCCAACTTCTCGTCCACTGTAACCCCTCGGTCCTTTTCTGCAGAACTGCTGCCTAGCCACTCGGTCCCTAGTCTGTAGCGGTGCATGAGATTCTTCCGTCCTAAGTGCAGGACTCTGCACTTGTCCTTGTTGAACCTCATCAGATTTCTTTTGGCCCAATCCTCTAATTTGTCTAGGGCCCTCTGTATCCTATCCCTACCCTCCAGCATATCTACCTCTCCTCCCAGTTTAGTGTCATCTGCAAACTTGCTGAGGGTGCAATCCACACCTTCCTCCAGATCATTTATGAAGATATTGAACAAAACCGGCCCCAGGACCGACCCTTGGGGCACTCCACTTGATACCGGCTGCCAACTAGACATGGAGCCATTGATCACTACCCGTTGAGCCCGACGATCTAGCCAACTTTCTATTCACCTTATAGTCCATTCATCCATCCCATACTACTTTAACTTGCTGGCAAGAATACCGTGGGAGACCGTGTCAAAAGCTTTGTTAAAGTCAAGCAACA